CGCCCGGCCCCTATTTCTTCTTTTTCTTTCAGAGAATAGGAGCACAAAGCTGTTAGCTGTGTGCCAGGTGCCGGGGATGCGGAAGAGCCTGTCCGCGTCCATCCCCCGCCCTCCCATCTAGGCCAACGTCGGACCTTGCTGCCACATTCATCCTCCTGCATCCTCCATTGCCTTCCTCCAATCCAGCCTCCAAGCAGCAGAATTTAAAACGTAAATCTGATCGTGTCACTCCCCTACTTTAAGCGTGGCTTCCAATCATTCTTAGGATGAAGACCAAGCTTCTTACATACAAGCCCTGGCCTGCTGCCCTGCCACTGCTCACGTCTCTGACCCGTGCCCTCCATTCCTGTTGTCCTTCACTGTTTGCCTTGCAATCACTCTGGCCTTCTTGGCATTTCTCAGATCTCTACGTCTTCAGCAGTTGCTGGCCTGGAAAGCTGTCCATCTCACCATTGACATGGAGGTGGGGTGCGGGCTGCAATTTGGATCTTAGGGATTAATTTCTACAAGAGGAAGTAGGAGAAAGCAGGACTGGGCAGAGAGAGAAAAGCTGCTGTAAGCCAACAAATCTCAGGCAACTTGCTGGGAAGTCCTGAACAATGGGCACGGCTGGATTCTCATGCCCTGCCTGCCCGGCCACCGAGCTCATGCACCTGTGCTAGGTCAGGCCTGCAAACTCAGGCAGCTCCACGCTGGCCAGTACTGCTGTCCCCTCTCTCGCAAGGGCCGGGGCTGGCGTGGGCTCATGGGCCACTTCATCTGGGAAACTTTCACTCAGATCTCTGCTCTATCATAAACTTTCATCCTTTTTCTCCCCAGTAGTCATCACAGTTTGTGATCCCATGTTTATGTGTTTGATTACCTGATTAGCACCCGCCTTCCCTAAGAAACTATGTTCTACACAGGGAGGAATGGTCTGTTTGACTGCTCATATCCCTGAATATAACCCAGTGCCTGGCACATGGTAGGTACCCAAGAAAAACTTGTTGAATTAAGGAATGAGAATGGATATCATGTCTTGGAAACATGACTCCCCCGGCTGTGCGGGAAGAGAAGCTCTCATCCAGTTTATTGGAAGGGCACTCATGAGCATTTCAATCAGGTTTTGTTTTAGTCCATTTTTCATTGCTATAAAGAAAATCCCTGAGACTGGGTAATTTATAAAGAAAAGAGGTTTATTTGGCTCATGGATCTGCAGACTGTACAAGAAGCATCACGCCAGGCTCTGCTGCTTCGGGTGAGGGCTTCAGGGAGCTTCTAATCGAGGCGCAAGGTGAAGTGGGAGCAGGGCTGTCACATGGTGAGAGAAAGAACAAAGAGAGGACGTGGTGCCAGGCTCTTTTACACGAAGAATAAAGCAAGAACTCACTTGAGGAGGGCACCAAGCCATTTATGAGAGATCCACCCCCATGACCTGAACACTTCCCACTAGGCCCCACATTCAACACCGGGGGTCAAATTTCAGCATGAGATTTGGAGGGCCAAACCGTATAAGGTTTTATCTTTAATATTTAGGAGCTAGTTTCTACCCACCCCCACCTGGTACAGGGAGCAAAATAAAAACACAGTTCACTCTATTACCACCATCCTTATCACAGTTACTCTCCAAAAACTTTTCAAGGCTCAGTGCATTGCAACAGGCAGCTTAAATTTCCACACTCAGAGAGCTACACGAGACTGGTCCCTGTGTGGGCTATAGCACTGGGTTAGGCATTACAATTCCTGCTCTCCACTTAGGTGTGCCACCCAAACAAGTCACTTAGCCTCTCTGAGCCTCATCTGCAAAGTGGGGACAATACTGCCTGTACTTTTGGGCCAGAAAGTGCTTTGCAAATTGTAACATGTGGTTCACAAGAAAGCAAGGGAGCTTTTTTCTTACACAGTCTCAGAGAGATAGGTTGGCAGAGGACATATTAGGAACACTAACTACCTATTTTTTTTTTTTTTTGACAGAGTCTTGCTTGTTGCCCAGGCTAGAGTGAGTGCCATGGCGTCAGCCTAGCTCACAGCAACCTCAAACTCCTGGGCTTAAGCAATCCTTCTGTCTCAGCCTCCTGAGTAGCTGGGACTACAGGCATGCGCCACCATGCCCAGCAAATTTTTTCTATATCTATTAGTTGGCCAATTAATTTCTTTCTATTTATAGTAAAGGCGGGGTCTCGCTCTTGCTCAGGCTGGTTTCGAACTCCTGACCTCGAGCAATCTGCCCGCCTCGGCCTCCCAGAGTGCTAGGATTACAGGCGTGAGCCACCGCACCCGGCCCTATTTTTGTTTTTTACAATAATGACATGGGAGCCTGCGTAAGTGAGCTGTGTGCTGTGTTTTTCCCAGCTGTGCGAATGGATCCGTGACCACCTCTCTAAGCCCTCCCTCCCAGTTCCCCTGTCCCTACCCATCAGTGACGGAGACAACAGGAAGAACATGGTGTACTGACCCGCGGGTGGACAGCAAGGGACTGCATTTACATCACATGCAGGTCAAGGTTGGGCATGTTTTGGAGGTGGAGAGATGTGTTTTTGTGTCTCCAACTGGGCAGAGCAGATGATGACATTTGAAGGCGGCGGAGTTATGAGAGGAGCTAAGCTTACTGTGGAAGAATCTTTTACGTGGAGACTAAATACCTAGCTATTGAGACAGAGGTAGGGAAGGAGCTAGTGTAGACACAGGTGCTCGGGTTGGGACCAATAAATGAGAAGCTCAAATAACTTTTCAGGGCCCTCAGCGGGCCAAGCCAGTTCACTAATAGGAATACTCAGAGATATCTTTGGTTTCTGTTGTTCTCCCATTCCTTTTCCCCCTTTATTGCCAATCAATTTATTTAATAAAGTGTATTATATACTCTCTTGACAAGGAAGAACAAGAGTGATTCACAGAATTAGGCTCCAGGCTTTGGCTTTTACAAAGTCACCTCCATGAACCTTCTCCATGGCCCCATGAGGTCGGAGCTGTTACCCTCATTGTGCACTTGGGGAAAACAGGCTTCACAAAGGCTAAGTAATATGCTTAAACTCAGATATGCAGTTAAGTGGCTGCACACAACTGTGTATATTCAAACCAGATTTCCTGCTACCTTCTCCCCTACACTACTATTTATTAAGCGCTTCCTGCCCCCAACTTTCACAAACTACTGTGAATGTGTGTGTGTGTTGGGCTATAGGAGCTCTGGCCTGTTTTTCTGTCTAAAACATCTAGACTCATGGAATTTCCATGAACGGAAAGGGGTCTTAGAGACCACTTAATCCAATTTATTTTGCACATGGAGGATCTGAGGTCGAGAGAGGTAAGTGACACTCCCTGTCCTCTCTGTAGATTTTGGTGTCTCAACTAGATAGCGTCTTCTATTCCTACTCTTTGCACCACCCTACATCACCTCCTAGTCTTGTCCCGTTCTTGCTCTGGGTGAGTCAGGAAGTATTTTGCCTGGAAATACCTTCACCAAAAATAATAGCTACCTTCTGCTGACCATTTTTTTTTTTTTGAGACAGAGGTTCACTTTGTTGCCCAGGCTAGAGTGAGTGCCTTGGCGTCAGCCTAGCTTACAGCAACCTCAATCTCCTGGGCTCAAGCGATCCTCCTGCCTCAGCCTCCCAGGTAGCTGGGGCTACAGGCATGTGTCACCATGCCCGGCTAATTTTGTGTATATATATTTTTAGTTGGTCAATTAATTTCTATTTTTATTAGAGGGGGGGGTCTTGCTCTTGCTCAGGCTGGTTTCAAACTCCTGATCTGGAGGGATCCGCCCGCCTTGGCCTCCCAGAGACCATTCATTCTTCAACAAATATTTACTGAGCACCTATGTGCCAGGGACTATTAGAGGTGCAGTGACAAACGCAAACGGGAAAGACTGCTTCCTACCGCCTGGAGCTTGCGTGGTTAAGGGAAGAGGTAGACCACAGCCAGTGAAAGGTCTGCCGAAGATCATTTCAGATGCTGGGAAGGAAATGGGACAGAGCGCTGGGAGCGGGGGAGGGCTTCGATGGCCGGGGCAGGAAAAGTCTGACAGTACACGGTCCTTTAGTTCCACAACAAGCCTGAGACTAAGGCTGCGCACGGACCCCCGTTTTGCTGACGAGGCAACACGTCCAGAAGGGTCAGTGTGGCACGGCCACGTCCCGCACTCCTGCCCCCGCCGCCGACCGCCCCGCCCGGACGCCGCCACTCGGGGCGGAGAGCGCCCCGCCGCGAGGCCCGAGCCCCCGCAGGTGTGGGAGGTGAGGGCGGGGGGAGGCGGACGCACCCCCAGGGCGAAACTGCAAACGGCTGCTAGTCGCAGACCCGGCGGCGAGGCCGCCCCCCGCCCGGACGGAACCCGCCTGCGCGCCGCCCCCGCGCCCCCACGGGGGAGCCCGCCTGCGTCGCGCGCTCCCGCCCCGGACGGAACCCGCCTCGGCGCGCCGCCCGCCGCCCGCCCCCGCGGGACGGAACCCGCCTGCGCGCCGCCCCCGTCGCCCCCGCCGGGACGGGCAACCCGCCCTGCGCGCCCGCCCCCGCCCCCGCCGGACGGGAACCGCCTGCCGCCGCCCCCGCCACGGACGGAGGCCCCGCTGCGGCCGCCCCCCGCCGCCTCCCGGGCCGGACGGAACCAGCCTGCGCGCCCCCCGCAACCCGGACGGAAGCCCGCCTGCGCGCCGCCCCGCCCGGACGGAGCCCGCTGCCGCGCCGCCCCCGCGCAGTCCGCCCCCGCCGGGAGCGGAGCCCGCCTGCGCGCCGGCCCCCGCCGCCCCCGCCGGGACGGAGCCCGCCTGCGCGCCGCCCCCCGCCGCCCCGCACGGACGGAAGCCCGCCTGCGCGCCGCCCGCCCGCCGAGCCGGAGCCCGCTGCGCCGCTGCCCGGCCGGGACTTGTATCGGGCCCGCGCGCGGCTCCGGGCGGCCGCGCGAGAAGGCGCAAGCCCGGCGGGCAGGCGCGCAGGCGGGGGTGCCGGGCGCAGCTGCGGCGCCAGCGGGCGCGGCGAGGGGCGGGGCGGGCGACCGCGCAGCGGCGGCAGCCGGTGGCGCGCCCGAGCGCAGCCGTTCAAAGCCCGGTGGTGCGGCGCGGGCGCTGGAGGGCCGGTCCGGGGATGCGCACCCAGCCCCGGAGCCAGGCTGGCACGGCTCGCTGAAGGCGCCCCTGGCTGGGCCCGCGCGGGGACGGGTGCCCGGCCTGACTGAGCGACGCGTTTGTCCTTTTCTCTTTGTGTGCCAAGGTGTCCCTCGGCGGGCGCGATGCAGAGGGCGGCGGCGCTGGTCCGGCGGGGCTGCAGCGCCCGCGCCCCCGGGTCCTGGGGCCGCAGCCGGAGCAGCGCGGCCGCCGAGGCCCCGGCCGTGCTCAAGGTGCGGCCCGAGCGCGGCCGGCGCGAGCGCATCCTCACGCTCGAGTCCATGAACCCGCAGGTGAAGGCCGTGGAGTACGCGGTGCGGGGACCCATCGTGCTCAAGGCCGGCGAGATCGAGCTGGAGCTGCAGCGGGTGAGCGCGCCCCGGGAGGCTCGGGCGGCAGCTGGAGGGGAGGACGGGAGCGGTCCCCAGCTGGGTCCTCCCGCCGGGCTTCCAGCCCCTTGGCTAGCGCCTCCATTCTGCCAGGCTTGGCTGAAACCAGAGCGCGCCCTCGCCCTGGCCCTGCCCCGCAAAGTAAGGCCTCAAATCCGCTTCACTTGTGGAGTTGAATTCGTGCGTGGCTGAGCGGCCCGAGCTCCGGGGCACTGCAGGTTCGCACCTGTCCTACCCTCGTGGAAGCAAGATCTGTTAGAGGGAGGAAAACAGGTGAATAAAATAAACAGAGCTTCAGATTTTGAATAAGTGCTTTGAGAAAGTAAAACGGAGGAGGGGTGGGAGGACCTCGGAGAGGTGGCCCTGTCCCCCAAACGCGCTCTCTCTCCGAGGCCTTTTGGGTCTTTGCCAGGCTCGAGTGTGACGTGGGTGGGGGTAGGAGGAGGGTGGGGCAGAATTCCTTCATTTAGGCGCCTTCTTCTCTTTCTGAGGACAGTCACCGAGGTGGGGAGTCAGAGAGCTGGGCCTCCGGGGCCCTCGTAAGGTGCCCCTGGGACTTTCTTCACTTCGGTGGCTGGCTCACTGGCCGGGATTCTGGCTTGAGTTCATAGCTTCATGTAAAGTGACCACACAGCCATGAGTGATTCCTGCCTCCCCACAACTAGTGTGGCTGGGGTGGGCGTAAGAGATGCTCCTGTAGGAACCGAGATCTAACCTGGGTGAAATTGGGAAGGCAGAGGCAAAAGGGGTTTTCTAAAAAAAATTAACACTTCTAAGATCTGTAGAAGCTGATAAAATAGTTACCCAGCTGCTTGCTCAAGATAGGTCTGGCTCAGAATGGGAATGGGGGGTGGTCCCTGATCTGGCTCTGGGAGGCATCAAATCCCAGTGTCTGGGGGGTGAAGTGGTCACTTAGTGTTCCTCAAGTGCACGGGAGGAGGCCTCAGAGGAACCATGACACCTGGCCCTCTTTCCCTTGGGGACTTGGGGGTTTGATGAGCTCATGGCCTGCTGAGACCTTGTTGGGACACCCAGTTCTGCTGACTCAAAACAGTGAGCTGGACAAGTCGGAGTCCAGTGTCTGTGCTGCGACTCCTTGCAGGCTAAGTTTAAAGCTTGGCTGGAGAAGGCCGCCCGGTTGCTGTGCCTTGCTGACACAGGTGAGGCCGGGACGGAGCGCTGGGTCTGCTGCTCTGCTTCTCCTTGGTGTCTAGCAGGCTGGAGCTGGCCCTCTTTGAGTCAACAGTCTCTCTGCTAAAACAAACCTGGGATTAAAGTGTTCCAGGTTTATCACGTTACAACCAGATTTCTCTGGTTCCAAGGCTGACAGAGGTTCCAGGAATTACCTGTACCTTTTGCTAAATAACAACTCCCTTGTGGGTTCCAGAAAGTGTGAGGATGCACAGGACAGAGGGGGCCCTGTGTTTGCCTTCAGGGAGCTGACTGCCATTATTATTCTCTGGGCCTGAGCCCTTTCCCCCTCCCCAGTTCTTTAAGGGTTGGTGGGATTTGTTAGAGAAAATGTGGGAGCATTCCATGTGGGAACAGCGCTGTGAGCAAAGGCAGGAGGTTGGGAAGTTCTGGGCATTTGGGGAAGGGGGCTGGTGCTCTTAGTAGAACACTGTCTACCAGAGAGATGTGGGAGGTGAATGAGACAGAAAAGGTGGGCTAGAGTCTTGTGTGCCAGGCTGAGGCTTTTATGGTGCATTTTGGTGGAAAGTGGGGGAGCCAGGAAGGATTTCCAGCAGGGGTGTGGCTTGGCGGTTGCAGGCGGTCATATTTCTTGGTCACTAGGCGGGAGGCATCTGTGATTTCTGAGACAGATGCTGTACACCCCCGTGTCCTACTCCCGAGTTAGTTGAGAAGTTCTTTCTGTCCACCTACGTTCTCTGCTACTTTCATTCAAGCTCTCTTCTCATCCTCTTCCCACTTTAATGAGTCTCAGCTACCTGGCTGCAGGTGCTGGAGATGCAGCCCCAGCCGAACCAGCATAGCCTCATGTAAACCTTTTTATTTTTGGCTTGCCTTAACTTTGCACAGCTTCAGTTTTCTACTTGTGCCTTGAACCATAGTGGTCAAAAAGTCGAATGGTGTTATAAGGGGTTGGATTAGGTTAGAGGTGAGTTGGGCTGGGATTTGTAGGGAGCGGGGTGACTTGGGGTGAATCCCATACATATCTGCTTTGGGCCTCAGTTTCCCTAGTGTGTAAATGGAGGGAAGTGGCCTGGTTAGCCCAGGGTTCCCCCCTGCCTTGAGTTTTGTACCTTCGTGTCCATTTGAAAATGTCCTTGGGGATCTGAGATGACCCCTGGTGGCAGCCTTTATACTGCCTGTGAACTCATTTCTCCAGGTGCTCTGCAAATAGCATGGGCTGTGCAGCTGGACACACGGCTCTGGTGTTTGACTTTGGGGTGGCAGGCTGGGCGACTGCCCATTCTTATTGCTTCTCTGACAGGAGAGCTTGAAGGAGGAGAGGAGGTGGCCTCAGGGGTGTGAAAAGGGCCATTCTCCTCCAGCCCCAGTCGTGTGCTCTCAGAGAGGACCTGTCTCTCCCTGATAGCAGCTCCAAAGGGGAGAACCGAGCTTAGCTTTCAGATCCTGTTGTACACTGGGAACAGTACTTAAAAATAAGCTGCAATTAAAAGGAGTTTTGAACAGATCTGACTGTTCTTCCTTAACCTACTTCTTTTTCCCTTGCTTTATTGGGGGTAGGGATTGGGGATTGGCACAAGTGGAGTCAGGAATGACTTCTTCCAGCTGTAAAAGTAACATACAGTCAGGGCAAAACATTCACAAACGGTAAGACATCACTGCTGTTAACAGTAGTGTGTCTTGTATCCAAACACAGATAAAACACAGTGCAGTAATAGCACACGGCTGTAGTTAGCTAAGAACTGAGATTGGAAACCCTGGATGTGCCAAATGCAGGTGGTGAAATCTCACTGGTCATTTTCTATAGAGTTTAGGTGCAACTTTAAAATAAAATTTGTGGGGTGGTCTTCCAATGGGAGTAACTCTGCACCCATCCACACTGCCTGAATCACTGGGTCTTCTCTTGGGCTCTGCCTTGTGTTCAGGGCCCCGGCAAGGCATTGGAAGCACCCTTGCCTTGGTTCACACCTTGGCACAATGAGGCCAATTTATTTCTCCTAAAGACTAGTTTGAGATGTTAGTAACAGTGCTTTGAGTCTAGTAGCTAATTAGAACTGTCAAGAGTCTTTGTTCTCAAGCTAATGAGAGTTGCTTGGGGAAAGAATTGTGAAGGTCTCTCTTCCTTTGAGAGACCTAGGCTTTGAGAGTGCTCCTAGGCTTTTCTCTTTCCTGCCTGGGCCCTGTTGTCATGAATTATCCTGTTTGGAGCTCATTCAGTTTTCATCCCTACCCTGCAAATCTTGGCTTCTGTAGTTGACTGTCCCAAAGAGCCCCAGATTGAAGGACCTACACCCAGCGTTCCTGCTTCAGTGGTTAGGACACGCAGCCCTGGGAGCTCTCACCTCCTCTCTCAATCTGGGCATGTATGGCTGCACCTCCAGTTTTTTCCGGCTTTATTTTTCTTTCCCTGTCAGGACCAGACCTTGTGCTGAGCCTCAGTTCCTCAGCTGTGAAGTGCACAGGGACTGTTTTTGGGGACCATGGGGTCTAGTGGGTGTTTATCTCTGGGGCCTTTTCTGGAGCTCTCTGTAGGACTTCCTGCCTGTTCCAGTCCCACTCATTGCCCTGGTGGGGTCAGGAGGCTGCTAGGGCCTGGTCCTCTCTCCCACGCCCTGTGCCTCCCTGTGCCCACTTCTTGTTCTTCACCAGCCTGAGCTCTGAGGGGTGGTGACCACATCTGTGTTGCTCACTCCTGTCACCACCAGGGCATGGGTGATCAATAAGTATTTATTGAATGAGAAGGAGGTTCTCTGGGGAGTAGCCATGCTACCCAGCCTTCCCACCCACATGTCACGTGTGAAATGACAAGAGCCATCCCTTGTAGGAGGAAACTGCATTGTGTCTGTTTTCCTCCCAGCTTTATTGAGGTGTAATTGACAAATAAAAATTGTATGAATAGCCAGGCGTGGCACTTTCCTCTAATCCCAGCTATTCAGAGGTGAACCAGGAGAATTGCTTGAGCCCTGGAAGTTGAGGCTGCAGTGAGTTGTGATGATGCCACTGCACTCTAGCCTGCCCAACAGAGTGAGACCCTGTCTCAAAAAACCAAAAAAGCTGGGCATGGTGGCTCACACCTGTAATCCTAAAACTCTGGGAGGCCAAGGCAGGAGGATTGCTTGAGCTCAGGGAATTCAAGACCAGCCTCAGCAAGAGTGAGACACTGTCTCTACAAAAAAGAAAACTTAGCCATGTGTTGTGGTGTGCACCAATAGTACCAGCTATTTGGGAGGCTGAGGCAAGAGGATCGCTTGAGCCTAGGAGTTTGAGGTTGCTGTGAGCTATGATGATGCCACAGCACTCTAGCCCGGGCAACAGAGCAAGACTCTTGTCTCCAAAAAAAAAAATAGTATGTATTCAAGGTATACAATGTGATGATTTGGCTTGGTATATGTATACATTGTATATATCATATGGCTTTAGAAATGATTACCGTGGTCAAATTAATAACATCCTGCACTACATATAGTTACCATATTGTGTGTGTGGTGGGTGAAAATGCTTAAGATCTGCTCTCTTAACAATTTTCAAATAAACAATAATACTATAATAAAACTATAATACTGTGGTCACCATGCTGCACCCTGCTGTAAGATCCCCAGAAAATGCTCATAACTGAAAGTTTGTATCCTTTGACCAACATTTTCCCCAACCCTCAGCGCCTGGCAACCACCCTGTACTCTCTGCTGCTATGAATTCGCCGTTTTTAGATTCCACGTGTGAGATCATGCAGTATCTGTCTTTCTGTATCTGGCTTATTTCACTCAGCACAGTGTCCTCCAGGTTCATCCACATTGTGGCAAATGGCAGGATTTCCTTTTTTATGGCTG